ACACCGTACTGTGACATCATGCCACGCATTTAGACCAGAGGGTCAGAGGGTAACACAGCTTTATGTGCTGAGGCTTCATTGTCGTCATGCTCGGTGACTGCAACAGCCCTTATTCAGCTCTCTTTCTCTCCAATGCACTTACTTTCCCACCTTACTATCAGCTCCATTTGCTCACATTACCACTAACAGGCAGGTCACTGCATACAGAGGTCACACTCTTTCAGTTCAAGTAATGATAGATGGGCCCTGCCCTCCTCTCTGACCAGCAGGGTTCTCAACATCTGGCCTAGACCTCTGCAATCAGTCAACATTCTTCTAGTGAGTAAAAACCCTCCATCTACCTCCTATCCACCTTTCAACCTACTAAACATTTAGATCCTCCTTTCTGGCACGCTGCCACTTATGAGCTTATGAAGTGCTATGTGCACATATATGCCCATCATCTTCGCAGTTATTCTCATGGTGATATCCTGGGACATGCAGGAGTGTTAGAGGGGGTCCCCAGCAGAGGTGTACACATAGGAAATCCAAGCAAATACTGCTCCGGCCTCCTCCTTGTAAATGAAATACTTTTTCTGGTTTAGCTTTTCAGATTTCTTGCCATGTTTCAACCCACTTGTACTGTTATCCAGAAAAAAAACACGGAATAGTGTCATTCGAAAGGATTATGCAACATACAGTATGAGCACAAAAGTGAAAATGATAAAGGTCTTAAAAAGTGATTTATGACAAAAGGGGGGTTCCCTTAATGCTCATTTGAGGCTATCTGGTGCATATTCCCACTCAAATTCTCAATTACATTTGCACAAACCAGATGATACACAGTAAGGCTGGAGCCGTGTGTCCATGAGTTCTGGGGCCCGGCAGGTACCCACTCACCCGGGTAGTTAATCCAGCCAGAGCGCCAGATGTTTAATGAGCTATTATCTCCTCACACAGGTCAGTGTAGACCTAGGCTACCTTAGTACGACCAATTATGCACGTTACCCACCCACCCATCACCCTCCACACCACAGTCCCCCCTCCTCACCTGAGGCAGCGCGGCGTTGATCTGCCGCTGGAGCACGTCCCTCTCGTGCAGCGCCCCCTGCAGCTTAGTCTGAGACTGAATGAGGGTCTCCTGAGTCTCCCTGAGGGACTCCAGCAGCTTGTCCCTCTCGTCCAGCATGTTGACCATCAGCTGCTCGAAGTTGGCCTCCTGGTCCGAGCCGTTCGGGACGCCGCCGGTACCTCTGGGAGGACCGGCTGAGTCTCCCTCGCTGATGGTCGGCATCACCTCGCACATCATCTTCCCCTGCTCTGTGGTCTCGGCAACGCTATAGGACAGTGTCGCTGTCGGGATTCAGAGGGGGGATATGTGGGTTACAAGCCCGATAAACAGACTTACAATAACTGATAAGAGGGCCTATTAACGCCTCGTAGCAACGGACAAGCCTATGCAACCCGGGGTACGCGCCTCATTCCCATTGCATTACATTTCTCTTGCATCAAACGTGCATCCTTAAGCTTTCTACCGCCTTACCTAATCAGAGTGACTGAAATGCTGAGATGACGGTTGACCTTTCATCCATATTAACCGGCGTTTTTTCACCCCGTGAGCAGATCCGCCCTGCCCGGCGCGCCATGCACTCACATGTAGAAATCCCGGCGTGATGTGATTGACAGCTCAGAGATAGACGGGTGTGTTTGGAGGGGTGGTGCCCGCGAGCACGACGGAGATCATAGTACCATGGCAGGAAAATAAAAAAAAAACAGAAAAATATCCGGGAGGACACGTTTTATCTGTGTCCTTAGTCTTGGGGACAGCGAGAGCGAGTCTTATCTGCATCCGCCTTCTCCGCTTCCATCTCTCCACACCGCCACCGAACCGACGCTCACTCCTCCTCCCACACACAGTCGCTCAGTCA